CACAAAATACTTAAATTTTGTTGCTAAACCAAAAATCACAATTTCAACGTCCAAACATAATCATGAATCACAACAAAACTCATCACAATCTGCATTTAAGTCACTTTCAAAAGCAAAATGCTTAAGCTAAATAACATATATTTCATGAGATCCAACAAACAAATCCACACTATGTAAATTAAAATAACTACATGAATCCAACAAACACATCATGATGCTTGTAGTAAGTATATCCTCCCCCAAAAATATTTTAATATTTTCATATACAAAATCTAACATGCGTAGATGTTGGTTCCTCCTACATAAGAAATAAAGCCAGATTTATATTAAATAATAATCGAGTATATTAAGTTATAAATAATTATAATTGATTAAATTTATATCTTTTATTTTTTCTTCAAGGCATACTTATTCTATTTTATTTAAAATAAATAGTACAAGATAGGCCGGCCTGTAGGCTTATAGGCTAAGCCTTGTGAAAGTGGGTCTATAGTATATTTATTAAACAAATTTTTTCAAGGCCCAAACCCAACCTACTTTATGAAATATATTAGGTCAAATCTGACCTGATGTAGGTTGAGTTGTAGGCCCTTATAGGCCGGCGTGTTCATTTTATATCTTTTTGTAGTCAGTCATTTTGTTGCAGCCTATATTGGCTTTCTGTTGTGAGCATTATCCACGTTTCGTGCTTTTTGATATTCTTTTTTACCTTTTTTGTTGTTGATATAAAAAGGGATGCTGTATGTACATTTGGAATACAAGTAATAAAATTCATTATTTACATTTATCCAACGTCATATTCTAATATCACTTTTAAAGTTTATTTATTTATAACTTACCTCCCATAAATTTGGATTTGAACTAATTAAGGGAAAATTTAGCATTAAAATAACTTCAAAGCACACTATAAGGGGCTCAATGATACGAATTCAAAAAAGTTGATAAAGGACTGTCCTTTATAGAATGAAATATATATTTTTTCTATGAGAAAAATATTTTTGCATCAACTTGCAGAAATAATTTCGGCAATTACTCTCACATCAACAGTTAGTGCTTTTTTATTTTAAAAAATTAGTGGGTTTAAAATTTTATCTCTATAGCATAGACTTATTTTTTGCATTAACTGTAGAAACATAATGCTCTTTTCCTAATAATAGTAATTGATTATGTTAACTAGGGGTGTTAACGGGCCGAGCTGAGCTTTGGTCTTAAAAGACTAAGCCTGTGTTTAAATGTGTCAGCCTAACCAAGCATGTTACCTGTTATGAATATAATTTCAGCCTGTGGTCTGTCTTATTTACAAAAAATAAAAGTCTAGTTTAGCCTGTTTAAAAAAAATAAGACGTGTTATCAAAAAAAAAAAAAAAAATAAGACGACAAAAATTTATCTAAACAAAATATACAATCAACAACACTAGTAATTCCATAAATATTCATAAATTTAATGTATATCCAAACAACATAATATAAAATAAAATTATTCAAAAAGTCTGTTTAATTAATAAAATGGGATGAAATGGATTGAGGAGAAAGAGCTATCACAAGTAGTATAAAAAATATAAAATAAAAATAAAACTTAATATATTAGGCCAGCCTGAGAGACTTTAAGGCCGAGCTTTTGAAATGGAGCCTGAGGCTTTTTTATTAAACGAGCTTTTATACAAGTTCAAGCCTGGTTCCAACAATCAATTTTAGTCATGTAAGCTCAGATTTCACGAGCCGAGCCAAAGACCGCTGACTTGTTTAGCACCCCTAATGTTGACATATCATAGTTGGTGATTCCAATTAAACGAATCTAGAGCAGTGGATTGAACGAAATGAAATGCGCCTTTGTGGACTTAGCCTTCCATACAATTTCATATAAGAAAGTAAAAAAACAAAGCAATTAAACTCTCTAAACATACTACCAAAAAGTGTAATTTATTTTTCTTAATTATGCGGAAAAAAAAGGTTCACACTATTCCACCATAGGCAGGATAACTTGGATTATTAACTCGTTGTCGGATTAAATTATTATAATAAAATATAGACGGCGTTGAAAAGCATATATTTTCTTATTGTTTTGTTGTCTATTAGTTCATTATTTATTATAAGTTTTAGTAAGGATTGAATTTTAAATGTGTTTGGATGTCATATATAAATTAATTAGTAAATAATTACAACAACTTGTATCTAAATTCTTAAATAAACATTAAATCTTTTTAAAGAAGTGCATCACTAGATTATTTACATAGTATTAATTACAATTTTATCAACAATTTATTCAATTAATTAAACCACTTACAGAAATGATACGGTTAATCATTTATTTAACTGAATTAACTATTATTTTTCTAGGTCACTTACAAAATACAAAACCTTTTAGGGAGCGTTTGATTGAGGAGAAATTTTTTGAATACTAAGAAAATGTAATTGATAGGGAAATGGTTGAAAAGTGAGTTTGATAGGAAAATGTAAAAAAAAGTTGTTTGATTAAAAAAAAATTATGTTTAGTTGAAAGTGAAATATTAGTAGGAAAATAGGATTCAATTACCACAACACCCCTTTGCTTATTTGGTATTTATATGAAAGAAAGAGAAAAGAGACCCAACTATAGGGCATTTTTGTCATTGCAAATTGAGCTCTTTTTAGTTGCCGAGCTAAATCTCAAAAACCACTGTTTCATGTGGTTTTTCAAAAAAGTGTTTTCTATCTATTTTGCAAATGAATTGCAATGGATGGGGAAACAATTTTGACGGTAAAATTTGTTAAACACTTGCACCAAACATGGTTAAATAGAAATCCCAATAAAAGTTGCCTAGCTATCCATATTAAAAACTCTTACCAAACACCCATTAGGGGTATCATAGATTTCCCAAAAGAGAAAAGGCGTCAATATACCATCAAAGAAAAAAAATTCACTGGTCCTATTCCATATGGTTCTTCCATTAAATTAGTGACACTTGTATAATTTTTTTTTTTTACTCTTTTCTCTCTCTTCTCTCTTGAGTAATTGTCACATTTTTATTAGTGTAGACCACTGAAAAATTGGTGCTTTAAAAGACCAAAAGTCTTCTCCCATAAAAAAAATTAATGTAGAAATAAGTGAATTGCTTGATATGATTTGAGAGTTGCAATTTTTGAAAAGGGTATAGAAATTTAAGGGTGCGATATTTCTTGTGTTAGAGGCAATAAAATTATTCTTTATATACATATAAAAATACATGAAATTCATGTATAGCAATGTGAAAAGAAAAAAAATATATAGATCCCACATATTTTTATATTGTACAAGAAATAAGTATATTTCTTATAATATGAGAGATATTAAATTTAAATTTTAAATTCAAAATTAAATTAGTCAAATCTATTAAGACTTTGAACACCTATTGATTTCTAAAAAAAAGTTTAGTCAAACTTTCTCCATAGAAGTGATAAGGATTGGTTTAAATTTCGAATGAGATAGTTATTGCAGCAGCCGGTAGTTGAGAAATTTTTAAAAAAAATATTTATTTAAAAATTAAATAAACGAACTTACGCTCTTTATCCAGACAACTGGGTAGTTTGCCTGGGCCCAGCATTACTAGGCCAGTGGGTATCGGTTCCTAATTTCCTTCTAACTAAAGCAGAAAGAATTTAATGCAAATGGAGCAATGTTATTAAACTCGAATTGGTGATTGATTCGGTCAGATATTGAGTCAGTGGATCACTAGTTCAATCATATGAATTATATATGTATATAAATTTATTTTTTATACTTAATTATATAATAAATATTTTAAAATGTGCAGGTGTTCTAAGAACCAAATGTAACTTAGTGGTAAATACTACAATTTATATCTTCACAACAAGGATTGATGCAATTTTTAAATAATTCTATTAAATGATATGATATATATATATATATATATATATAAATAGTGCATATTAACCAACAAACAAACTCAGCCTAGTAGTAAGTTGTTGTTTGGCTTATTTAAGAGACTCAAGTTTGAATTCTCGTGGCTGCAACTTTGGAATTATTTTTTCCAATACCGGTTGATGGGTTGGTTTATGGGCCAACCGGTCCGACCGGGGGCCGGTTTTCTTAACACTGCTATTGACAGCATATTTTAGTTTTTTTTTTCTTTTTTCTTTTTTCTTTTTTTTTGGTGAACAACAGCATATTTTAGTTGTTTGTATACGTAAACTGGATAAGTTTCATGTGGTTATATCTTTTTTTTTTTGTAAATATGTGGTTATATCCTTTGATCTATTAGTAATATGATGTTGTTACGTGAGAGAATTTTAATTATTTATAAATAAATCAATGATTATAATTTTGTTACTTCACGTATTAATATTTTTTTTCATTTCTCATTACCATTAATTTACTTATGAATAATTAAAATCTTCTCACTTGATATTGTTATGTTAATTAATATATGAGAAGATCAATTCTTATTTTCCATACCTCTCTTTCATGAAATATGAGAACTGAGCTAAACACTCCTTAAAATGGAATTTTTTTTTATAAAACAGAAAAAAAGATATTTTCTTTATTGTAGAAGCTTATGGACTTTTTTAGTTTTTATTTTTCTATTTTTATCAATTATGTGGAAAACCTTTTTCTTTATTTCGTAGCCTAATTTTTCACTTCATTCATTGCTCTAATCAACAACAATCTATCTATTGTGACAACATCATCTTTCATTAATTTTAGCGATGACCTCGTATTCAGTCAAAGATAACTCAAAATATTTTATGAATCAAACATCTCAGATTTATTTAAAGTAAATTAATTATTGAAGAACTTATTTTTAATTTTAGTTTTTATATAATTTCTAAATTAAAATAATTGCCAAACAAACTTTATGGAGTATATATCGACACAATTAAAACAAAATCTTAAGTCAATTTAAGCCTTTTAGGTGATTCCAACCAACATGGCATTTATGAGACCCCCTCATAATAAAGATTCATATCCACAATACACGGGACTATAGTGTTGGGGAAACTAAAAAATCTTTATTATAGAGTTTTGCTGGCAGACTAAGGTATCTCTCAGTTGCCATGGAAAACGGTGTGGGAATAGAAGAGACAGTGAGAGAGTTGAGGCAATACTTCAAAACTGGAAAAACCAAAAGTGTGACATGGAGGAAAAACCAGCTCAAAGCTCTCCTTGACCTTCTTCATCACAATGAAGATGCTATGTTTAAGGCTCTCCACCAAGATCTTGGGAAGCACCCTGTTGAAGCTTACCGTGACGAGGTTATCATTAAAATGCACCAATTTCTTTCTTATTTTAGAAACACAGTTTCAAGCTGATTTATCCCATATATACTTTCCAGCATATAAATTTTATATATATATATATATATATAATGGCTATTGTTGTACTATTACTAATCCTTTTTCTTTATATATATCATTTTTCTTCTTTTTTTGGTAAACCAAAATTTCTTTTTTCTTTATATACACATACACACTGACACACACACCACACAAACATACGGGAAAAGTATTTCATTCAGTCTTTCACTAGAAATAAAGTTATTTCTAGTAAATTCAAAATAATACCGTTTTGGATTATAAAATTAAAAAATTATAATTATAAAGGATAAAATAATCTGTAATAAATTAAAATTATAAAAATACTTTGATTTCCGTCCTAAAACAATATCATTTTAGATTTATCGGAGATAATTTATCTCCATTGACAAGAGAAAGCCTTTCCCTATATATATATATATATATATATATATATATATATATATATATATATTATCCCCTTCAAATTGTATTACTGAGTCCTTGACTGCTTGATTACTTTTTTTTGTAGATTGGAGGGGTAGAAAAATCAGCCAACAACGCTTTGAGCAGCGTTGAAAAATGGATGGCACCAAAAAAGGCAGGTTCTTTTAATTCCTTTAAAAATAAAAAAATACCCTTTCCTACATTTTAACTATTATTCTTATTTTTTTGTGCTTAGCTTGAAAATAACATATAATCTGAATTTCAGCTCTTATCATCATAAGGTCAGAAATTGCTTAATATGTGAATTCAAGATAGCATTGAGGTGTGGAATTTTGTATGGAAACTCGATCCGGAAGTAAATGTAACGGTGCATAAAGTAGTGTGAGCTTTATATATATTTGGGAAAATTTCATAAACCCCAGGGGTTTGTTTCTAAATCATTTTACTCCTAAAGTATTATTTTTTTTTTTATAACATAAAGTATTATTTTATCATCTACATTCATAATCAATTACCCCCTCTACTTCTTTTCCATCCAAATTTAACTAGGGGAATGATATTATAACAACTAAGTTGTGTTACTACCAATCAATCTCACCGTTAGATTGATTATGTTGATCCAACGGTTATATTTATTTCCATCTTTGTATGGTCATGTTTTCACAAATTTAATTCTTTTACTTTAAATATGGAGAATCATAACCATACAAAGATGAAAATAAATATAACCGTTGGATCAACATAATCGATCTAACGGTGAGATTGATTGGTAGTAATATGGTGGTAAAACAACTTTGTTGTTACAATATCCTTCTCCATTTAACTAATGGTGTTAAAGTTTAAACAAAATTCAAAAACAATTAAAAATAAAATAAAAAAAGCCAAAATCTATGCAGGTTACCCCCTAAGTATGTGTCACCTATTCGGAAATTCCCGGATCTACGTTTATTTTCAACTCCCCGAAGCATTTCGTCGCTTACTACGCAACATATTAAGCTCGTAAAAAGAAATAAATTTTAGTTTTGATCAATTATGTAATTCTATTCTGTATTCACTAATTTTGAATTTTGTATCAAAAAGAATATTCATTTAATAATCCATTTTTTCAAAAAAAACAAAAAAAAAAAATTATTAAATTTGATTATGAATCAATTCTTATGGTGAGTCTCGAAAAACTTAATCACTTCTTCCATATGATTTCTGTAAAATCCCTACATTGCATATGTAGATAGTCGGAATACAGGTAGGTGTTTAAGATGAAAACAGCAACCAAAACAAACTGCATACAAAATTCACTTACTTCGACATAACCAAAAAACCCAAAGCTCATGTCGCCAGCAGGGAACCCCATTGCAATGATGTTTTCTGTGATATATGTCATATCTAAATCAAAACCTCCTTCCTGAAAAAAGTAGCCAAAAACTTTGCTGAGAAGAGAACATAGTCATATACTCATACAACTCAATATGAAACAAAGAAATATGAAAATCAAAGTCAATCTACTCCCAAGTCACAACAATAATTATGAAATGAAATTTCTAATAGCTTTTCTCAACTGAAGAGGCTAGAAAGTTCATCATACAGAACAATTAATTATATGACAAGATTTAACAGAGAGTAGGAAAATGTCTGCAAACTTCAGGTCTTTATAAACTTAATACCAGCAATGAAGTTTGCTCTAGAGAACCAGAAAACAAAAAACACTGCTTAGTCCAACTTTGTTTCTGCATTAGATAATAATTGTCACATGGCAAAAGTTATCTGCAAATAATCTCTAAATATAAGCTTCACCCTTTTATTAAGGAAAGGGAAGGCAACAAAGAACCAGGATTAAAGCAATCATCCCAATAGAAGAAACACTATATTGTTCAAATGAGGCAGCATTACACAAAGTAAATTAGATTGAACAAGAACAACAGTTGGTATCTGGGTTTTTTTTTTTTTTTTTAGAAACAACATGTCGTTCCTTAACATGCATAGATTTTGACTTTTTTTTTTTTTTTAATTTTTAACAGTTTTTGAATTTTGTTTAAACTTTAACAATGTTAGTTTAAATTTGGATGAAAAACAAGAGGAGGGGGGTAATTGATTATGAATCAAAGCAAGGGGTAAATGATAAAAAAATACTTTAGGGGGGGTAAATGATTTAGAAGCAAACCCCAAGGGGGTTTATGAAGTTTTCCCTATATATTTTTGAAATGGTTGATTGTGTTCCATTACTCTATTCATGTATTCACATCCTTTCATTTTGACTATATTGCATAATGATTCATTGATCATTGTTCTTGTTTCAGCTGCTTCTTCCTGACAATTCTGGTTAGGACTTGTGTCATCTATTAACTTTTTTTATTGTGTTGCGGCTATTTTTGCAGTGTAATGTACCTTTGCTTTTCTTCCCAGCTAAAGGAGAACTGTTGTCAGAACCACTTGGTGTGGTTCTCATATTTTCTTCTTGGAATTTCCCAATCAGTGAGTCTAATAATTTCCTAGCCAACCTATCTTGTTGATATACACTTGTTACTGTTAGGTTTTGGAATTATTCATGAATTAGTTTCTATACTCTTCATATAATGCAGATACATTTGCTAAAGACTTTTTCATGTACATCTCTTCATTTTTATTACAAAATCTTGACAGATAATATTTAGTATTATTTAAGGGAATAGTACAAAGAGTGGTAAGCCTTTCTGCATTTATGAAATTATCAATGGTAAAAAATTAAGGTACTATCTGTGTAACACCAGGAGCATACTTAATATAAGCTCAAGAATGCTTCAATTATTGTCATACTTTGGTGTTTAAAAATTAATAGCGAAAAAGTTAATGTAGTTACTGTATGCAGTGGTGGCATTGGATCCATTAATTGGGGCAATATCTGCTGGAAATGTTGTAGTGATAAAACCTTCAGAGCAAGCTCCAGCATGCTCTTCTTTTCTTGCCAATACAATTCCTCGCTACTTGGACTCTAATGCCATCAAGGTGATCGAGGGTGGAGCAGATGTATGTGGACAACTACTGCTACAGAAATGGGACAAAATATTCTTCACTGGTATTATTTTCAGTAACAGGCAACTTCATTTCACTAAATTGGGATATATATACATATGTAAATTTAATTTGATTAGTGAGAGTGTTAGACGGGTCAACGCTACGCTACAATAACTCTAACAAATAGGTCTGACACTATGTCTCAACCCAAAATATTAAAGATTGAGTTCATGGGTCCTCTCATTTATATGAACTTTACTTAGTCTTTTACCAACCAATATGGAACTTCATCACACTTTGAACACTCCAACACCGAGGAATCTTTTCCTTTTACTTGGTGGTTTGCTTATAATCTCATTGATGTGCAAAACGAAATATAATCCTATGAAAACAAGTCCAAACTGAACTCTGGTTCTAGAATTACATCTCCATGGTGTATGACATTTTTTTCAGGAAGTCCACGTGTGGCAAACATAGTCATGTCTGCTGCTGCAAAGAATTTAACTCCTGTTACTCTAGAGCTGGGTGGAAAATGCCCTGCCATACTTGATTCCCTTTCCAATCATTCAGATTTGAAGGTAGTTTACATATGAGTTGTATTATACTTGCCATATTCAAAGTTCAAGGTCTAATTTAATTTTCTTTTCTGTACATTTGTGAGCATTAAGACTGCAGTGAAAAGAATTGTAGGAGCGAAGTGGGGATCTTGCGGCGGACAAGCATGTATAGGAATAGACTATGTGCTTGTTGAGCAGAAGTTCTCATCTGTTCTGGTATTCATTACACATCACAAGCTGCTATTTACACTAATGTTTTATTTTCTAATAGTAAGTTGTTGGTTGGTTTTCTTCTAGATAGAACTATCGAAGAGTATACTCAGAAAATTTTATGGTGACAACCCAGTAGAGTCAAAGGCCATTTCGAGAATAGTAAACAAGCAGCATTTTGAGAGATTATGCAATCTTCTTAAAGATCCTCTTGTTGCGGCTTCCATTGTTCATGGTGGTTCAGTTGATGAAGAAAACCTGTAATAGTAGTCTCTTCCTATATCTGCTACTTCTAATCTATGTTGTTCTGTTAAGTTTAGAATGTGATTTCTGCCTGCAGGTATATTGATGAATTGATAGTAGTCAAATTAGTTTAATTCATCAATTTCTTAACAACCTTTTCAGGTTCGTTGAGCCAACAATCTTGTTAGATCCTCCACTAGACGCTCAGATAATGACTGAAGAAATCTTTGGCCCACTGCTTCCAGTGATCACAGTGAGAATGAACAATCCCATTTTATGTCGTCAATTATCACATATATTATGTCATTGTCTCATTGAACTTTTAACTTGCCATCGTTACAGACGAATAAAATTCAGGAAAGTATTGAATTTATAAACTCAAGGCCGAAACCTCTTGCCATATATGCCTTCACCAAAGATGAAACTTTGAAGAGAAGGATTCTATCAGAAACCTCCTCAGGAAGTGTCACATTTAATGACACATTGATTCAAGTACTTCTTTTTTATCTTCTTTTTCTTCCCCTTCTTTTTTTATCTAGCAAAGTATAACTTAAGAGAAATATGGTCTAATTAATAGTGTCATTCTATGTGCAGTTTTTATGTGATACGCTACCATTTGGAGGTGTTGGCCAGAGTGGTTGTGGAAGGTACCATGGGAAGTACTCATTTGACACTTTCAGCCATGAGAAAGCTGTAATGCATGGAAACCTTTCCATTGAAATTGAGCCAAGGTACCCTCCTTGGAGTAAATTCAAGCTAGAGTTTATCAGATTGGCATACAGATTCAACTACTTTGGACTATTGCTGCACATGCTGGGCTTGAAAAGATACAACTAGATCAATCCCTCGAGAATATCTTTAGTACATCAGATGTACCAAACTCGGTACATATTTTTCCCAAATTTGAAAAATTTTGTAATGTGGCTAGAAATAAAAAAAATTTAAAAGTGATGAATTTTTTTTCAAATTTGGAAAAAAGATGTACCGAGTTCGATGTATCTGATGTACCAAAGATATTCTCCAATCCCTCAGCTACGGTGCCTATCTATCCTCAAATTGATGTTGACTCAAAACGCATTAGGCTTTAATGTGACTGAATGAATATGAGTGGTGGAAAAATAGGAACAAAGGTTTTCATTATCTTTCTGTTATGTTACCCTGTTTGCAAAAGTTGCACATGTAGTGAATATCAACTTGACAACCTTTCTATCTATTATTTTTCTTGCTAATAATAGGATGTTTCTATATCAAATGTCCAAACAATGTCAAACATTCGTAATTTTAATTTCTTCTCTCGGCCATATTCAGAACAGGAACGTTGCCAAATAGTGGACGACACCACCTGATAATTTTCTTAAAATTAATATGATGTTGTGGTTTTTTTGTCGAGGATTATTCATTCCGAGTTGGTACCGTGATTAGGGACAAATTTGGAAATTCTTTGTTGCAAAGAGCAAGTGTATTAAAGGAGTTTCGAACTCTCGTTAAACTAAGATTATTGCCTAACGAAAAGGAGTCGAGTTTGCATGGGAATTACGCGTCATAGGTAGGTTCATTTGGAGGGGATTATAGCAATAAATTCCCTTAATTAATAATGAGTTAGTTGACTATTCTTTTTACGATGCACAAACACTTCAAAAAATTATACGTGTCATGTCCGACACTTCGACAATAGGCATTGCAGAGATTCAAAAAAAAAGTTCAAAGATTGCATTGCGTTTTTAGTTTCAATTATTAGATACGTTGGATTATGATTACCATTTTATTGAGTTTAATATAAATATTTGTGGTACTTATGTTTCTTTGCAAAATTAATGGATATGATAAGTTTAGTTTCATTTTTTTGTTTAATTATTGAATATTAAATATAATATATACTACATAAATTAAAAATATTATTTAATATTAAAATATGTCCAAATATATCAAAATTTAATATTTTTTAAAATTAATATGTCAAAATATCATGCTATATATGATGTTTTGTGTCGGTATCATTGCAACATAAATTCTTTTAATGGTTTGTATGTTATGGACTTACGCGAGTAATACATTACTGGGAGTTGTAATAAGGTTGAGTTAGCCAAAATTTGCATATGTTTAACGCATCATTCTTAAACATTTTTTTAACAAAATAAGAAAAATATATATTCAAACACACTCTTTATCTCTCACTTGTTCACGTAAACAAAACGAGTGTAAAAGATGGTATAATAATCTAGCGTGTAAATAACATAAACCTTTTATTTGGAATGAAGTTTTACTCTAAAGCTTATTCATGTAAATATAATCAAACAAAGTTAGTTTATAACTTGATGTAGGCTATGAAAAGGGATAATGCCCCCGTCAATTAATCAATAATGATAACAAGCAAAATTACAACACAATCAATGATGATTATGCCCCATTAATCTTAGGAGTATGATCAAAATTATAACACAATTAATGATGATTATGCCCCATTAATCTTAGGAGTATCGTTTTTTGTCCCTCCAAAACTCCAGGATCAGAAGTCCATTAGTCAAACCATTCATGTATATTATCTGTACTCCTTACTCCAGGTGGATTGAACTCATTCTGTTTGTTTTCAGCAGCAATGAGCAGCATTGATTTAACCTAAGAGTACATATACTTACATTTGTGCACTTTGTAATATTTTTCACTTATGAGGAAAATGGCCCAATTGCCTTTTACAGCCATGACTGTATGCTAAAATTCAATCAAAAAACAATATACCATATTTTTTTTTTTTTTTTTGTAAATACAATATACCATATTATATTAAATAATTACATAAGTAATTGTATCAATAATTATTTTACATATGTAAATGGTTGATTAATTTAATCTGCAAAACATACGTAAACAATGTCTGACACAAGAATTTTCTCCAAACACTGTTCACCACAACATTACCACATACGGCATGAGACTCAGATTATCAAAACCTGTGATTCATAAGAATAGCTTTACTTAAATAGAGACTTCATATACAATAGGAAATAGTCCCTTGAATTGGACCATATTCAGGGTTACTTTTTTCTTTTTCTTTTTTCTCTATATCCTTTTCTTTTCCCTGCTTTGTGAAAGGGAGAAGAAATCACCATTCCAACTAAAACTCAATGCTTCATACTCAGCAAGAAAATACCATATTAAAAAGAAGCAGATGCCTAAGGAAAAAACAAAAATCAAAGGTGCCCAACTTTGTTGCATTGGCTAGAGTATGATAGTCAACATGTAAAGACTATGCTCCCGCATCATCCGTGCCAAAAAGGATTAAAAAAAGCAGGAGTTTTTTACCAAATCATTACAGAAATTAGGAATTAGTGGTCCATATTGTCCATTGGGAGATATATAAGACTTAAAACCACGAGAAATAAAAGCATTGAAAACGACTAGTTATCAAATATGAGGAGTGAACTCAATATTCTCAGCTTGTTTGCTGGTTAAAGTTGATCAAGACACATTGTTTCCTCTTCCTTTGCAAATACCAGGTAATTCCAATTTACAGGAGAGTTATTATGGCGTTTAAAGGGAGGAATTTCTCAATATGCCTTTCCCCATTTCTTCAGTTTTCCTTTTCAAAGGATAATCCTCTATACTAACTTTTGAGAACTTATTACCAGTTATTATACTTTATCATCATGGAACCACCACCTTGTCTCCTTGGGAGATCTGCCATTTCTGCATTTCTTTACATAGTGGTCATTATCTGCAGGGCGTTGCTGCAGACAAAAAAAGTTATAGTAGTTAAGTCAAGATAGAAACCTATTGGATGCTGGATCACACTTAAAAGCACAAGTATAATCTTAAATTACATATGTCCTATATGACCCAAAAAATGTATATATATGTCCTTCAAATATCAGGATTATAACACAGCTAACATGGGCAGTTGACGTGCCAAACCGCACGCACACACATCTATAGAAACTCTAAAACTGAAGCATATGTAAAATAAAAAGACACGCAAACGCAATAACTGGAATAGACTCAAACCTTTACAGTTGAGCTTGAAAGCATCGACAGAATGCTGATGCATATAGAACTAACTGTCATGGCTGGGGACCACGAATCATATAGTATATCTGCATAATTCATAAAGCATATCAAATGTCAGCTCACCACCAAAAAGCAGACCAAAATCAATCATACATTTTATTGTTGGCTACATGTGACTGTGAGTATTATAGATAAAAAATCAATGAGATTTCAGTGATCTACTCTTACTGCAAAATCAAATGAACAAACAAGAATGTTATCTATTATGACAAGGTAAACTATTTTACATGCTTCACACAGACATTATCAAATAGTTGGGAGATAAAAGTTAATGCTTCTTAACTTCCTCTCCTACACTCAACCTTCAAGGAAGGGATAAAAAAATTATTTTCTAAACAACGTATTAAGCCCGGGCATCAACATCAACAGCACCTTTAACCCAAGCTAATTGGGGTCGGTGGTAGATGAACCCAATGATAAATAAGAGGAGATTAAAATATATATATATATATATATATATATATATATATATATATATATATATATATATATATATATAAACTGACTCATTCTTCAAATCAACATCTAGATGAGAACGGGTTGAATGAACAGAGGAAATAACAATGCATTCCTAACTTCCATTTGCACTTTCGATTGTTACCCTCTTCATCTCACTTAATATTAAGAAAAATTCCCAGAAGATAATTCTCAATATAATCAACTAGCATTTCTAACAAGCAAAAGAGTGAATAATTAAGGGGGCGTTTGGTAGAGGAGAAAAAAAAATTATCTGGGAATCACAATTACTAGGAATATGGTGGGAAAGTGAGTTTACAGGAAAAGTAAAAAAAAAAATTGTTTGATAGGCCGAAATATTACCGGAAAATTTGGTTTACGTTTCTTGAGTCTATATTTGGTTGAAGATAAAATATTACTGGGAAAATGGAGTGAAATTACGAAAGTAACCCTTGCCTAAAGAGTAATTTTTTTAAACTCTATAAAGCTGGAAAAAAATTTGAAAAAAAAGCAAACGCAGCTTTCCCATGTAAATCAGAATAGCACCCTTTGGGTTGTATTCTCAAGTGGTGATTTGCTCTCAATTTTACACACAATGACACTTTCCCATGCAAATTAGAACCCTGGGCAAATATTTTCAGAACTCCTATCAAACGCAGCTTTCTTTGAATCCCGTGTGCACTTTTCCAGGCAACAAATCAAACTCCCCTACCAAACACCCCCTAAGCATTCAGCTGAATCCTGACCAACCATGCAAGGTATCTATTAATCAAACATCCATAAAATTCATATATAAAATTACTAAAACTTTACTCAAAAAAAGTTTCTGAAAATATTTTGTGGTAATAACACTAATTCAATTTCCCTTAGAATAGATAGGGTGAAATAAAGAAAACAAGAGAAGCAGCTACAAGCAAAAATTCAGGACAAATTCTTATGTATTCTGAGACTAAAACACAAGTCAATCAAAAATTAACTTGCGACACAGAAATTGAATCTGTGGCACAGATTCAATTTTATAATAAAATCTAGGAAGTCGAGTGTGTTGCTATGAGAATACATAAGTTCTCCAAATTTAGACGGTGCAGAAGCAGAGACACTGATAAAGATGATTATGAAGGTTTAAATAAAATTTTAAAAATTCAAAACAAGATATACAAGCATAGAAACATAAAGAGAAACACATAACACAAGCTTCTACTTACTCCTCATGCACATCAGAATTTTCCTATCTACTATTCAGTCACACTTAAAATTCACAATGCTTTCATATTAAAAAATGAAAATTACACTAAAGACATAAATCTGCACAATTACTGAAGTCATTTGCTTAAATTTTCTCTTGTTCCATATATTTTCTAAGGTTCATTAACTTCTAAAACATAAGCTATTTTCAATTTTCAATTTTCAATTTCAGGAGTAAAATTTTATTTTCCAATCCATCACTGGATCTTGATTCTCATACAACCCATTCCCATCCTCTTCCATACAAATTCTTAACAAGCAATAATAAATTTGAATATAATGACTTGCAAGGAAAAATGGAAGCAATTAACAACATATGGATGGATGGTAGAAAGAAAGCATCCAAAACAAACAAAATAAGTGCCAGAAAGCATGGACTATATAGAAAAGCTGATGTAAAGTTGTAAACAAACAAAAGAGCACTAACACATAC